CAATACACCGGCTACCTAGCCGCTTGCCTTGGTCTATACGCTCGCCCCTTGTCTGTGTTAGTAAGCGGCCGCCTAGCCGTTGCTGACAGAGTCGGACGAGACGTCGAGGCGGATAGGTTGTGTAATGACGACAGTGGCGGGAGCACGAAGTGGCACTTGTAGTATGTCGACATTGACAATGAATACTATACACTGAATGGCACATTGCGAAAGACCGGGTCCGAGTTGGGTTGGCGGAAGTTGTGCCAGAGCAGATCATTGTAACGCTCCGACTCATCGACGATGTGATACATCTTCGACACCTGAGCATATAGACCCTTCACGGCGTTTATGTTCTCGACACGGTAGAGAAAGTCATCGGGGTGCTCGGTCGCGAGTGTTCGCGTGGGATTCCTCCATCCTCTCTCGAACTACGTCCAGTCACTTCGTCCTGACGTTCATGGCCGAACCTCCCGTGTTGCAGACTGGCCCATGCTCTCAATTCGTCCAGACCAAAGACAGTATCGCTAAGAAGTTTGCGAAGAAGTTAGGACAATGCTGGCATTGTCGAGATGGTCGCCCTCAGCAATGCGCGTTCTACAGTACGAGTTCCGGTTGCCCAGTCAGATCGAAAGGTTCTCGTCGCTTATGCTGTCGCAGTTGTCGACGAGTACGGGGCTATCGTTGAGCAGCGCTCCTTCCGAGTATCGGCCGCACCCAACTACACATTACTGGAAGTCATTCTACAGGGTCACTCTGCGCGCGCGAAGGTGAAGTTCAGGTCCGCGCCGCCGAATTTGACTCGCCAGATCGTCTGGGAGCTGCTGGTGAGACTGAACGAGCGTTATACCTGTGAATGAAACTGATGGCCCATCGCAGAGAGGCTGCTTGCTAATCAAAAAGGAACTCGAAAAGCATCGCGATCTGCGCAAGACATGCAAAGCCGTCATTCCGTGGACGCCGCGACTTGATGGCCATCGTTCTACGTGTGGTATCAATATACAGAACTTGACACTGAACACATGCTAACAATGATCGTGGACAGACATATGCGGGGCCTCTCTATTCTGCTGCGTACAGATGTGCAGACTCTGTGCTCGAGAGGTCTGCGGAGACTGCATAGACGAGGACCGTGTACGTGCAACCGTGCTCTCCTTGACGACCATTCTCTCACTATGCGGATAGCTATCTGGTGTTCAATGCTCCATAATCAAGATCAAGAAGAAACAGAAGCATATACATGACCTCGTTCTGCTCGACAACTTCGAGGTCGGCGAGCTCGAAGCGGCCCTCCTGTTCTACAAGCAGGTTCCATCCCGGTAAGTCGCTTCGGGTGCGATCAGGCATCTTCACTGAGTGATCTTTCAGCGTACCTATTCCACGTCCCCTTCCATGTAGAGAGCCTCTCAGGCTTACTGTGGGGGATGAGGCTGCTCCCCTTACATATTCTGCCATATATCGCTCACTTGCTGCCGGCACACCTATCATGGTGTCTGGTATCAACCCCGGCGAACGAAATCTCACTCCGGAATATTTTATACACCACCACGGAGACACCATGGTTACGCTTACCAATACGAAGACCGATGCGCAGCGCGTGGTTCCGCTCGTCGAGTTCATGGACAAGTTTGGCAGGCCATCGGACCCCGAGAATCCCGAGAAGCTCCAGGTATGATTGGATCATCGCGCTCGCACTGCGACTCTCCGAATCACTTGTATCTAGGACTGGCCGCCGACAGAATTCTTCGCTACAGAGTTCCCCGAGATCTACGGGATCTTTGAAGACTGCCTTGTAGCTCCCTGGATTACGTCGAGGAGAGGCCCGCTCAACATGGAAATGAACATGCCAGTGGATGCGTGCCCGCCGGATACGGGTAGCTAGCTTCCTTATTCAGAACCTTGCTGAACTTGATCTTCACACGATAGGACCGAAGGCGTATCTCGCTCACAGCGCGGGGGGTGGTACTACTACCCGTCTGCATTGTGACGTCACTGATGCCGTCAACATGCTCTTTCATGAGGAGGACGGTCCAGAGTGTGGTGCCCAGTGGACCATGATAGACAGGGATGATATGGCCGTGGCGGGGGATCTGTTGCGCAAGTGGAAGGCTGGCTCCTTCAAAGGGCATCCAATTCACTCTCAACAGATCACTCTCACGGACAAAGATGTTGAAGACTTGCGGAGGGCTGGTGTGCACGTCTGGACCCTTATCCAGAGGCAGGGCGATGCAGTATTCATCCCTGCTGGAGTGGGTCACCAGGTCGGGATATCTGCCATTTCAAACCGTAACGATAAGGCTGAAGAATGCTCCAGGTCACGAACCTCAGCTCATGCATCAAGATCGCAGTCGACTTCATAACAGCAGCTAACATCGCTTACTCGCAACGCATCGGTCAAGAGTTGCGAGAACATCGCCTCGCCACACCCGAGAATATGGGAGAAGACATTCTACAGCTCTCTTCCATATGTTGGTGGACATTCAAACGATGCCAGATGGAAGACTTGGTCAATACACGCGCGGATCTTGCTTCGGACCCCTGGACATCCAACTACTCCGCCGCTCCTGCATACATACCACATGCCCTGCGCGATGACGGTCGTCAGTATTCATCCGGTGGCTTACTAGGTCGCGTTGCTAACCGTTGAGTTGTACAGTCGCTGGTCGTAGGCTCCAGGAGCTTGAAGACACGACCACCAGGTCGACATCCGATTATAATATGCACTCTCCCACGTTTGACACAGCGGCGTTCTATAATACGCCTGATGCGGAAGAAGCAAATGGCATAGCATCGGGTGAGGGTTCTACTTCTCGGCAATCTATAGTGGCCAGCTAACATCAGCTTTAGACGCCGCACCGCCCTCTCAAGCCGAACCGGATAATCCTCGAAAACGGAAGAACGATACCGACGAGCCTCTAACAAGAACTCAGAAGCGACTGGCCAAAAAAGCGAGATCCAAGGTCGCTAAGTCTTTGTCTGATCCAAAGAAGACGCTATCGTGCCCGGTTGGTGGTTGCAAACGGGAGCAAGAGAGATTCGCAAGGCAGCCATTTTTGAATCACCTGTGAGATGAATCCCAAACACAATGCGAGCTTTTGCTAACTCCAGACAGGGAGTGTGCGCATAGGTCATACGTGACGTTTCTACACGGCGATAAGACGAGCGTGGAGATTGCAAATAGCCGCCGGGAGATACTCCAAATGAACCCCGACGACGATGAGGCGTTTCTTGGTTACATAGAGCAGCATGTATTAAGCAAACCGACCTAAGGGATACGCGATCGATGTGCCGAATGTATTCGTTGTGATGAACGCGCTTGAACACGAGCACGTGGGTTGTGATCCTCACGAAGCTCGAGGATGACA